CCCAGCTAATTTTTTGTAGTTTTAGTAGAGACGGGGTTTCACCATGTTGACCAGGATGGTCTCGATCTCTTGACCTCGTGATCCACCCGCCTCGGCCTCCCAAAGTGCTGGGATTACAGGCTTGAGCCACCGCGCCCGGCCCGAGATGGAGTTTTGCTCTTGTTGCCCAGGCTGGAGTTTAGTGGTGAGATCTTCGCTCACCGCAACCTCCACCTCCCAGGTTCAAGCAATCTTCCTGCTTCAGCCTCCCAAGTAGCTGGGATTACACGCATGTGCCACCACGCCCAGCTAATTTTTTGTGTTTTTAATGGAGCTCGGGTTTCTCCGTGTTGGTCAGGCTAGTCTCCAACTCCCCACCTCAGGTGGTCTACCTGCCTTGGCCTCCTAAAGTGTTCGGATTAGAGGCGTGAGCCATTGTGCCCGGCTGATGAACATCTTTTAATGTTCATGAATATAAAGCTACATCAACATTTTTACCAGCAAATACGTTCCATCGTATAAACATACCGTAATTTACATAATCAGTCCTTATAGAAAGACATATTGTTTCAATTTATTGTAAACAAAAATCATTCTAGGAATTCTGTTAATTTATAAACATTGAATGAGCTTTATTATAATATATAGTTGCCGAAGACTCAATTTTATGCAAGCTGAAACAATAAATGAAGGGTAGCAAATTAGAGAGCCTACAACTTTTGAGCATGTATTCTATTGCTGCTTCAGTGAACTACCACAAACTTAGTGGCTTAAAACAGGATACATTTATTATTTTAGAGTTCCAGAGGTTAGAAGTCTAAAATTGTTTGCATGGCTGAGTTTACTCTGGAGGCTGTGGGAGAGAATTGGTTTCCATGATATTTCTAGCCTCTATAGGCTTTCTGCATTCCTTGGCTGATGGCCCTGGCATCCCTCTGACATCGATTATACTGTCATATTTGTGACTCTATCTTGGACACTTTAGCCTCCTTCTTATAAAGACCCCTCTGATTACATTGGACCTAGAGGATAATCCAGGATAGTCTTCCCATAGTAAGATTATCCTGCATAATTTAGTCACATTGGCAAAAATCCCTTTTGCTCTGTAAAGTAACATATTCACAGGTTTTGGGATTAGGACATGGACATCTTTTATTCTACCTACCACAAAACGTAAGATCTAAATTTGTTTAGAAATGGAAAACCTCAAACCTCACCTCAGACCACTTGAATCCTGATCTGTATTTTAGCAAGATCCCCATGTGATTCTATGCATACTTAAAATTTGAGAAGTACTATCTTTCAATAAAATCAGAAGATACAGTTAAGCAAAAAGAAAATAAAGCATAGTCACAATACCCATCCAGCTATTGATAAACCCTCTTAGCATTTTGGCATTTATTTCTTTCCAAAAGTGGGACATTCTGAACATAATGTTTTGCAACCCTCTTTTTTCACAATGCATTGTGAATGTGTAACATGTCAACAAATACACTCAAGATAATTTTAG